AGTCCCCTGGGCTCCTCAGGGTCTCGGTCTCTGTTCTTGCCGTGCTCGTGAGGCAAATGAGGGAAACTTCAGACCGTCTCTTACACCACCCCGTGACTCGCGATCAGCGTCAAGAGGGCTCCTTTGTAGTGTGGTTACGAAGTCTTCATGTCTCCTCAAAGGCTGGTAGAGTACCCTGGAAAACAGAAAATCAGACAGAAAAAGAAAAGTAGGAAAAAGATAAGGGCAAGAAAAAGGGAAAGACAAAAGTAAAGAATCAATTTTCAATTAAAATAAACATTCAACTTCTTATTACAAAGAATAAGTAATTTCAATTAATCAAATAAAACCCAAATAAACAATTTCAGGCAATTTCTTTATCACGAGGGACAATTTCCTATTTTTACTTTTCCAAAATTTCAATTAAATCCTGCTGAAGCAACAGTTGCTTTACCTGAGTGAGGTTCATCCCAATAGAGGTAGGCAATAAATGGTGGATCAGTGTGTAAATGGACTGTAAAAGGTGGTAAGAAATAACTGGGACTATATAAGAAAAATCACCTCCTGCAATCTTAGTAAAATTACAAACACAAAAATTTGAATGATTTTTTTGTATTCACTACTAAGATTTCTAGAAGTACACTATCACAAGCAGTTCTCAAACACGCACATCCACATCCTATATGCACAAGTAGTTTCAGAAGTCTCGGTACGATGGATTTCAGAGTTGCAGATATTTTGTTCCATGTCCAAACAAATATCTTGAGCTCTGGTTGCATTACTTTCACAGATAAACGCTTGTTGTTCCCGGAAAATACAGTTTCCAAATTAACGGTGAATTAATTATTAATGAAGTTTCCAAACCAACAGTTTGCCACTTCTCACCAATTTGATGAGCCCATTCCTTGTGCTCCAAAGGATAGAGAGCAGCTCCATCATGATTCAGCCCTAATGCAATGACAGGGAATATTGAAAGCGCTGAAGCATTCCGTATAGTCAGTACAAAGGCTGTGGCTGTGTTTGTGCTGGGGTCACAGGTAAAATTTACTAGGTTCCACCAGGATTGGAATTCTTTTTCCAAATCAGTGGCATTGTCCCAAATTATTTGTTGACTTTCAGCAGGAAAAGTGCCTTCTTTGCCTTCTCTTACAATTGAGGCAGTAACTGACTGCATCCACAACTGAGCCTGAATGCAGCTAAGAAGCGACAGAGATGTTATTTTGTGTGGCACCGAGTGCATCAATTATCAATTTGTGATCATTTTCATTTACCTTTTCCCAATTTGGTAATATGTTTGATAGTAACCACTGTTGGGTTCCCAAAGCCGATAAGGATGACTGCAGTGGTTGCTGTAATTTGGTTACATCCCCACTTGTGGTAGCCAGTTTGTTCATCTGCACTTCTGAATCAATACTATTCAAATTTCCCAGTCCTGTTCCCACAGCACAGGTTATGATCTTGTCATTCGTTTCTTAGAAGGATTACGCTTTCACAACCAGGTGTCCACCTCTCAAAAGAAGTTTGCAAAAAAGGTGAACAAGCTGGCTGAACTTCTGAGACATTGTTTTGCATTAGCAATTTGACTTGGTTAAGAGACCACGCTGGATTAAACAATATTTGTTGTTGGCCAGTTTTTCTGATTATACATGGCCCGATTTCAAAATTTCTCGGGCTCAGTATAACCGGAGATTGGGTGGTGGTAGGTGTAGGTGTCACAATATTGACATCAAGTTCTCCTCAGTATTTGGTTTTGTTTTTCCCACACACGATTTGATGGGAAAATTGTACGTCAGTTAGCTTTAGCCAACAATTCTGATTTTGAATTTCACAAAACAGAACATGGCCATGAGGTCCTGTGCCATAACTGTATACAGGTTCAATGAGGATTCAGCAATTAATTTTCAGGTTATTGTCACATCATCACCTTGCATTCCCATAAAGGGAGGGAAAACATTATGTTTGTCATCCAGCACTGGGGGGTGCTTACACCATGGTATGTGATTACTGCACTCAGTGCCACTGCATTCATTTTGAGTCTATGAATTAAACCTTTCAGACCTGACTGATATGTCAGGTCATTTTGCCAATTACATGTTACAGAGGTTGATTTGGTTCAAGTGAAATGATACCAACAGTCAGTAGATTGGTTTTTACAAAGCTTTGTAATTTCCACCTTGTTGGTACAGGGGTCCAGGGTATAGTAACTAATATTTTTCTGATGACAACACAGTATGAGGGGGGATTGTTTGTTCCATGACCACACTGCTGTGGCGCAGAGTTTTGCCATGATGTTGGGGTGCAAATTGCTTGTCACATCTGATTCTAGAAAATTTCCAACGATTGCAACGGTGGAAGCTTTCTCATAAGGAGACTTTTCCATTTTTCTGCATCCTACCTTAATTTCTTCACCAATTGTTCCAGTTATCACTCTGGGCCAATCTTTTCGGTCCCAACCCCAGTCATTTTGACGGTATGTACCTCAAGAGTCGTGTAGTACTACGGTCACTAGGTTTGGGTGACGGCTTCTGGGGTAGGATCCTAGAACACATCAGGTGTACCTGATGGTAGCTTCAGACCACGGCCACTCAGCTGAGTTTTGGCCATGGTGTTGTGGTAAGATGCAGACAAGTATCTTACCATAGTAAGTACTTACTATTTAATACTAGTATTATCATGGTTTATCTGGTCTTCATGGCCCTCGGTGTTCTTCTGTGGAAGGTGAACACAACAGAGTCTGCCCCCAGAAGGCAGAAACTTAAAATGATGGAATTACCCAGCCTGTGTTGATCCAATGCTTTTTTCCCAGAGTGTCGGAGGGCACCCATGCATATTTATTTGGAGAGGTTTTTAGTACTAGTGGTACTTGCCCTACACTAGGAAGGTCCACCAGGGCAGGTTGTCCAGGGTAGTGTGCTGGATCCTTAGGGTCACTTGGTCCTCATAGAGTGGGAATTATGCTTGGGGCTTTTGGACAAAAGGCAGTGATTTTGGGACACCTGTTTAATCCCCATCTGTCATTTACATTTTTTACAGCTTCCCTTAGCCAAAGAGCCCGGCTTCCCTCCTATGGTTTAAGGAGCTGTTTCAGGAAACCATTGGTCCTTTCTACAATCCCGTTATCTTGAGGGCAGTAAGGGGTGTGAAAAGTCCATTTTATTCTTTCACCATTTGCCCAATCCTGTACAATTTTGGCAGTGAAGTGGGACCCGTTATCAGATTTAATTTCTTGTGGTTTTGGGAAAATTCCAAACCACCCTTGCAATGCTTTGACAGTATTATCTCCTGTAGTTCTTTTCAAAGCTTGGGCTTGGATAATCTCCACTCCTACCAGCACAAAGTGTTTACCACCTGACTTCTTCAAGGGACAAATATAATCCACCTGCCACGCATCCCATAAGCCTTTACCCTTTCTTAAGTGCATAGGTCATCTTCTCAAGGATGGCTTTGCAGTCATCTGTGACATTGCTTGCAGGCTGATATGCAAGTTTTACACATTTCCTTGGTGACAGGCCAGCTGTCGGCAAGAGCTTCTTTGTAAAAATCTTTGGCAACTGAGTGCCGTCTTTTTACCTGCAGCCATTCCAAAAGGTGCTCCCAGTCCTCTGAAATTTGTTCTTCTCTCAGGCTGAAACATAAACTTTGCAGAATTTAAGATATTAGAAAAGCTAAAGCCTAAATTAAAATTAATCCTTACGTGCAACAAATGTATTTGTGGTTTTGTTTGTATGTTTCCACGGAAAAATTTGTCCTAAGACTGTGTGCTCTTAATTTTTGAGCAGGAGGAGCAGCGTAAGCTGCCGGTGGTTTGTGTTTTAAGCAGTGCCAGGAGCGCACTGCGAGTTAATAGTTTGTGTCTTGAGGTGAAAATGTGGTAACAACAGGATTGCTGGTTTGCTGTGTTTTGGGAGCCATGGAGGCTCCCATTTTGTTAGATTTGTGATTAAAAAGCGGCCTGGTAGGTCGCAGTTTGTGGTTTTGGTCACAGGTTCAGGGACAGGAAAGGTCCTGGCAAGAGTTGTAAAGGTTGATTTTGGGTCCCAGGAATTTATGCTGAAAGTGTGGAGTGACAAAGGTAGCAGGAAGCGGTATTAGCTGCTGGGGATTTGTGTGGCTAGGCGAGGGCCGAGGGGGGCTGGGCAGAGTGATTTGTGTCACAAGCTGAGAGAGGCTCAGCAGAGGTGATTTGCAGCAGCCGGTGCGCTGTTGGGCTGGTTGTTCTTGTAATATGTGTTAGTATAATTTGCGTTTTATTGTACACATAGAAAATCAAGTATACAAACAGGTTTTCTGTGAAAAACAGAAGCAACTTGAGATTGCAAAAGCAGCTGCTGGAAAACCAGGAATTTGCAAGAAAATGACTCAGCAATTAAGGTAACATCGGGCGAAGGGGGGTCCACTCAAGCAAGATAAGTGCTCTACTGACTTGGTGATTGACGCTTGATGCTGACTTGATCTGATTTTCTCGGACCATGCATCTCAATGTCGGTTTCCATAAAAAAACTACACAGACTAAAAAAAAAAACTTCACCACGATTCTACATCTCAAAGCCTGCTTCCCGATAAACCACTCAAACTTCATCTCCTTCTCAGAAAACTCATCAGCAGTCCAGCAGCAGAAATATGAATATCTAACAACACAAAAACAAAAAAAAGAAAAAGAAAGTAACTGAAACTGCATAGTCTCAAGCTGAAAAAACCTGTATAAAACACAGCTCTCCCAAAGACAAGTTGTGAACTTGTGGGAATCAGTGTGGCAGAGGCTGATTCAGAGTTCACCCATTGCCGATCCCGGGTTCGACGCTGACAGTGATTGTGGTTGTTTCCATAATTCGATTTTACAGATTTTTCAATAAAATCCTTATTGATAAAATGAGGCTGAATTTCATTTGTAACATTCTGAAATGGGAGAGGCTTGGAACCAGGAGAGGCTTGAGTGGCAGAGCCAGTAATGTGCGTAGCATGAGACATAAATTGCGTGTGTGTGCGTGCCCTGAAAGGCCAGAGGAAGTGCGTGTTTGAGACGTGCTATCAGCACAGGGCGAGTGGGGAATCCCAATCTGTGGATTCGCTCTGGGCGACTGCAAGCAGCTAGAAAAGGACAGGGTGATTGGGGTGTGTGTTTGATTGTATGAAACCCCTTTAATAAAATCTCCCCGTCTCCCCGTGGTTGGGTTGTGATAAGCATTTTTGAGGAGATGCCACCATCTACTGACGGGAGTTAAACTGCTGACTGTTACCGTTTCTTAATTAAGCTTACATGCCTAGGAATCAGGGGCCTTGGAGAGCCATGGAGAAAGAATTTCTCTTTTTAAAGAAAGGTTGTGATTGTAACCCTTGGATTGTGTTTTGCTGTGTAGTCTGTCAAGAGCCTTGGCTCTGAAAGGTATTTAGGTGGAGGATCCCCAAGTGGGGACTCTGTTTCCTTTGTAACACAAAAGAGAATAAAGCCACCCAGATAGCGATAAAAATCTTACTAGGAACTGGTAAAGTAACCCATGGCAGCAGTGAGATATTTGAGTTATTAGAGAATGGAATTTTGGGGACCCTAAAGAAACTAATTGACATTCTTGGGGTTGAGTGTGCCCAAGATAATTGGGTACCTGAATATTACGAAGTGAAACTCCAAAGTTGGGATAAAAAAACATTGTGAGAAAAAGAACTTCCAGGATGGGAGCAAATGAGAGTAAAGGAATTCCTAGGAGTAGTCCTTTGGGATGGCTTTTAACACATTGGAAAGAACTAGTGGGATATGCTGATGCAGAAAGCAAGAGGGAGCTTGTTAAGTTCTGTACACAATGGTGGCCACTATATAGACTGGATGGTTTTAAAGGTAGCTAAAGACCTAGCTGAGGATGATTGTAGGACAACACAGGAGGATGTTAAGGATGTATTTCCCCTTCAAGATCCTGGCTGGAATCCCAGTGAACAAGGGGGACTAAGACAGTTACAAAGATATCAGAAATTAACAGTAAAAGGGCTGGAAAGAGCAATTCCCAGAACTATCAATTAATCAGCTCTATATGCTATTAAACAAAGTCCTTCTCAAACACCTTCTGAATTTTTAGATCAACTGCACGATGCAATGTGGAAACATACCAGCCTGGAGCCAGGATGGAGTGAAGGAATGCAGTAGCTAATAAATTTGTTTTTAGGACAATCCACAGAAGACATCAGGAGGAAGCTCCAGAAGATCGGAGTCCACGAGAGCCAGAATCTGGAAACCCTGGTGGATGAAGCCTGGAGGGTCTTTAGCAATTGAGAAGAAGGATATAAACAGGGGATGAGAAAATTGGTGGCATTAGTGAAGGAGGGGGAGAAAGAAAAATGTAAGCAAGGTCCACCAAAATGAGGAGGTCATGGGGTGGCTTTACCTTTAAGATACCTTTGGGAGCTATAACCAGAGGGTCACCTGGGGTAGGGGACTCCGGTCCTCTTCAGTCTTCTTTTACATGAGCAACCTCCCCCTTTCCTTTCCGATCATCTTTTCTCTGCTCATCTCCTTTTCTTACTTCTGGACACTGATTTTTCCAGTGTCCAAATCTCTTGCAAAATGCACATTGATCCCTTCCCAGTTGGGGTGGTCCTCGTTTTGGTGGACCTCGCTGACATTTTTCTTTCTCCCCCTCCTTCACTAATGCCACCAATTTTCTCATCCCCTGTTTATA